AGCCAGCTGTCTGACAACAACAGCAGGCAGTAGGCCCCCAGGGCCAAGAAGCTGCTGGGCTTCCAACCCAGCACCCCCGTCTACCAAACACCAGCGGCTGGGGGAGGGGGAAGACAGTGTGATGCTCAACTGACCCGTTACTTGCAACCTGAAAACAAATCGTGTTTTGACTTTAATTCTTTTTTCTGAAGAACCTAAGGGGCTTGGGTTGGGAGGCAGTCTCCTTGAGATTCTGTGGCTGACGTGGGAATAGGAATAGGTAGCATCCCGGTAGCTAGTCTCTCTGGGGCAAGAGCCTTCTGTTGAGGCCTTCCATGTGGGGGTGCCTTGCATTTTACAGGCGAGCAGAGAGCGGGCATCCTTGACTCCTGGGTCTCTGAGCTTCCTGATACAGGATCTGAGCATGTCCCTGGGATTCTGAGCTGCCAGTAGGGCCCGGGGTAGTCCCATCTTATTCTCCCCTCTACTATCCCTGCCCTATCCTAAATGGCAGGGGGGAGACTCAAGATCAGGAAGCTACCTCTTTGGGAGTCTTGGATGTGGTGCTTTGACGTTTCCACAAGCCAACTCCTTTTGGCCTTTATGTCACTGCTGTGAACGAGACACCTCCCTTCTCCATCTAATATGGACTCTTATCAGTAACGTTCTGGAACAGAAGCTTGTGGAAGGGCCTTTGGCTGTTGTCCCCTCACCTTGAGAAATTCTGGGCACAGAAACACCCTGGGGTCAGTGTCATGCATGGATGGCAGCAGTGTTGAACACAGGAGGCCAAGCCAGGCCCACTGAGGAAGAAGCATGGTGACGATGCGTGGTAGCTGTCTGCCTTCACCCCATGACTGTGCTCCCCAGCCCCTGGGGCTGGATGGTTCTAGGGTATTGCTGTGTGCTACAGCAAGCCTAAACAAGGGTATCTGGTTCATTTAAGAGATCCCGGGAAGGGGCCTTGATCTCTTTGCTTCCCTACGAATGGATCTTCATCACTCCTTACTCTCCCTCCACTTACTTTGTGGGAATTGGGGCTTGGGAGTTTCTTACTGATACCCATGTCCCCTCACTCTCTGAGTTTCAGAAGAGAGATGAGAGCCTCAGCAGAAGACCCTGCTACACAACTTCAGAGTAATTCTGCTTGCCAAATTATGTTTTCACCTTTACCAGTTGACTGACCAGAGTTTAGAACCATTGATGTTTTGTTTAAAAACATATATAAAAACTCTCGTGGGTATTCTTGTTACGCTAAAGGAGAGGGGTACTTCCCTCTGTTGCACTGTGTGTGGGCCTACTGGAGTAAAGATGTTGACATCCTTTTCTGCCTCATCTGGAAATGACCTAATGGCCTCCCTTCCCTTCAAGCAGACCCCACTGGCCAATAAGTACAGTATTTGGTGGTCTAACTTCTCCATAATTTGGGAAGCAGAGGGGTTGGTTCCTGTGTCACCTTTTAGTGTGGAAAATTCGGACTCTTCTTTTCCTCAGAAGTCAGTGCAGTCATGGGCCTCTGGCTGGGCAGGCTCATGGGTCAGGACTGAGACTGGAGGAAAGGATACTGGGATGATACTTGAGGTTGACTGGGGACAGCAGAACCAAGGAAGGTAAGGTGGTTCCCCTTCCCATCCCCCATGCTAGACCCCAGGTACAGGTGCGACGGACAATCCCATGGGATCAGGATTAACCCATCCAGCTGCCCCTGGATTATCAAGGTTGGGGCTCAAGTGTATGGGGGAGGCAGGTTCTGTGCTCCTTGCCTTTTCCACAACATGAGATTAGGCTCTGGTGTGCCTCCCATTATAGCTGGTATTCTAACTAGAAAGGACCTGTCAATTCCTCTGCCTCCCAGCTGACAACCCAAATTCATTTTCCAACTTTCCTAACATCTTAGACCTTTCTTCTGGGAGAACTAGAAGGTAGAATTTGATTTTATTCTCTCAGGAGCTGTGCATAAGCCAGGTCTTCTGTTTTCCCTCACTCTGCCCCCATTCACTCCTTGTCTGTGCAACTGTGCAGGTGTAGGTAAGGGGAGGCACCACCCCCACCTTCACAGGTTCCCATACCTGGGAGTGCATAGGTACTAAACCAAGCAGTGCAACTTGTAATTAAGCAGCTGCAGTGTTTACATGTTTCTTAATGTGTCGTCTTTTCAATGGCTGTATTTTAAAAAAAAAAAAAAAAAAAAAAAAAAAAACACTTGTTTCAGTTGTCTCTCTGATTAAAGAAAGCCCCTGTGGCTTGGAGGCATTGTGCCCATGGTCCACCAGGGTCTGTGATTTCTTGTCTTACACTGTCCCACTCACACCCAAGGGGAGATAGACTCCCACCTTGATCCAACACAATGCCTGCCCTCACCGTGGCTGTACCCCCTGGTGAACAGTGATGTTTTATGAACGCCCATTTTAGACCAGCACATGCTGAGAAAGGAATGCCAGCTGTACCCTCATCTGGCAAGCTGTGCTGAAACTGCTGATAGTTTACCCCGCTGTGGGGCCCAGACGACTTCAGGGATAGGTGTGGGGCTGGTGTAGAAAGATGAAATTTTATTTCAGTAGGTGGTATCAGACTGAACCCTGCACCCTGGTATTTGCTACAGTAAAGGAAGATGGTAGAGGTAAGCCTGCATCTTACAGAGGGGCAGAAAGATCTGCAGGGGAGTAGTCTAGTCCAGTGCCATTTTAAAAGAAAAGCTTTCCATCTTTGATATTAATATTTTATTGGAAAAGGTACATGAAAACCATCTACATACACAACCCCAGGTGAACATAACATGCAAGCCACCACACACTTTCTTTTGTCTTAGAAAAGCTTGACTTTTTTGGAGTAATATCTTGCCCATTCCAGCAACAGTGTCCCAGTTAACTTGGTTCCTTTTCCTCCAGGCTCAAAATAAAATAAAACTCCTCTACCAAAGAAGGGAAAAAAAAAAAAAAGAAAGGCATTAGGTGTGTCTCCTCTTGAATAGAAAATTCGTGCCAGGCACTTCACATTGTTACTGAGGCAGGTAGTCATTCATTCAAAAACTATTTATGGAGGGTTTTACTGTGTGCCAAGCACTGCTGGGTAATAGGTACGTAGTAATGGGTAACTCCAGACATAGTTCCTCCCTGGGTATTATAGATGAGGAGACAGGCCCAGAAAACTTTAATACTGTGCCCAAGTTAAATCACTAGTAAATGTGAGTTCATGGAGTCCTCCTGGTGTGTGGATAATATAAAGCAAAGGGCCCGCTCTTACCTGGAGTCAGGGGTTGAACTGAGAGTCTCTGGCGAGTGAAAAGAGCCATATCTTTTAAGGGGCCTCCAGTGGTTTTGTGAGCTTGGTAATGGGTTTTGAGCTCAGCCAGGGTAATGTAACGCTTCATCATCCGAACAAACTGTACATCCACCTGTATGACAGAAAGGAATGTTCAGGCAGTTTCTGTCTACTGTGTTATTTGCTTCTTGTGGGAGGTTCTTAGGGGCAGAGCTGCCAGTGTTCTGTTCTTATCCCCAAAAGAGGTTTTGGGTGTAAAAGCTGGACTGTGTACCTTGACCTAAAGACAGCACACACCTTCTTCCTCCCTCTCTTTGTCCATCCTTTTCCTCTCATGAAATAGGAAAAATAAGTACTCTTTACCATGGACCATTTAGGGTTGTCTTCTTTGCTGGATGGGTCATAATAGGGACTGTTTTTCTCAAACTGTGTGTGGTCTGGGTAAGCCTCCTTCACAATCTGAAACCAAAACCAAATCTCTAATCATTTGCCTGTACAGTCAACTCCATGGCCAATTTTTAACTCAAGTCCAACTTTCTCTTCTGACCCTATACATACTCAGCTCTTCTGCCTTGCTCTAGAGCCACTATATCTGGAAATAACACAGTCTAGAGCAAGCATAGGAAATCAAACCTGTTTTGACAAAAATCTTGAAAGTAGGTTTTAAAACCACGTATTAAAGGTTATTATTGGTACCACTGTTTTTTCACCTATAGTTAATAATCTTATCCTAATAACTTCTGGTTTGAAAGAGCCATCATCAGGCCTGTTTTTGAGTGAAAGACTGAGGCAGAGAATGAAGAGAAGTTAGTAGCAGTGGGACTGAACTGAGGCCTCTCTTGTTATAGTCCTTGCTGTACTGGAAAAGGCCAAGGTGGTTTTTCCATATTCTTGTGACATCAGGGATGGGAAGGAGAGTATTTCTTTTTTGTTACTGATCTAAGCTGTGTTCCTTTCTATCTATATGAGTAAGTCTCCTTGAAGGGAGAGGGATTAAGATTAACGCTTATTGTACAACCAACCTTCACAAGTCCTGCGATGCCTGGCTCTTTGCAGTTGCTATGGTAGAAGAAGGCTTCTTGCTCCAGCTTCATGGCTCGAAGGAAGTTCCGGGCCTATCCCAGGAGAGAATAAACAACAACTATCCTCCTCACCCAGTGGAAAACACTAATTAGCGGAATCAAGTCTGCTTTATTGGATGAGTTTTTCTTTCTTGCAGTTTCTTCCCAACTCAATTCAATACCTGCCTTTGCTGAGACACCCAGACTGGTATGCAGACACTGGCCAGAACACAGGCCATTTGTAAACTGTATGCAGAGGAATTAAGATAGTGTTGAATATACAGTCTGGGATTTTGGAAAAAAGAATGCTGGCCAAGAGATTTTGCTACTGAATAAGTCCTAGAAAGGAGACAGACATTTCTTTGACCCTGGGGACTCTTACCCTCTTACCTGGTAGTTGCGAACACCATCCCAGCATGCTGTCTGCTTGGGCTCTGCTTTAAGATCCTCAATGCTGAACTAGGCAACAGGAAATGAATTCATTCATTAAACAGTCTTGGGGCCAGTTGGTAGCATATGGAAGTAGAAAGGTTTTTCCCCTACGTTGAGGGTACTACTTGCTGTAGTGGAAGTCTGTAGTTTACTGGGAAGTAGTTACACAACACCACTTCTATTGGGCAAAAGTAGAGTAAGCGTTGCGTTACCTTGTTATCCCGCTAATTAAAAGGATTAGTTGAATAGATAATTTAAATGATAACCTATTGGCTATTCGTATTTCACTCATTAAACTATTATATATTTCTATTTTCTCCAGGCTGTTACTAAAGCTGATTTATATTAATTCAATGAATATATACTAATTGTTGGCAGAGAGATACATAGAAGTCTGGTAAGTGTCAAGAGTGATGCAACCTAAGATTGAAACGTTGCCCAGATCAGGGGTTGGCAAACTACAGCTTTGTGCCCAGGCCTGACTTTGTAAATAGTTTTATTGGAGCACAGCCACACCATCTGACTACCTGTTGCCCATAGCAACAACAGCAGAGCTGAAACAGCAACCATAAGACCCCAAAACCCAAAATATTTATTATCTGGCCTTCTACAGAAAAAAGTCTGCCACCCCTTGCCCTAGATAAAGGATTCACAAAATAGATAGTTGATGGTAGTAAGTCCTGCTGATTTTATTCCTTATAATCTATTCCCTAACCCTACCCTTCTAAGAAGTTGGTGATGGAACCCTGTGGTGTCCCATATTCACTTCTCACCTAAAAAATAGTTGAAGGGATTAGAGAGGTACCTAGTCTCACCTTCACATCGACACCTTTCTCTAGTCGGCTTTCTGGCTCGGACTTCATCAGCCAGTAACTGCTTAGATTCTTCCCACCGTTTTTAGAGGCTGAAGTCTTCTCAGGGCTGGAGTTACCCATTGCAGCTAATGCCCCTGCTGGGTTCTTAGCCTTGGTACGTTTTCCTACTGGCCCCTTATTGTCTGCAGTAGAAGCAAAAAGAAGAAACTGGTGAGAAGTAATGCTCTGTGTGGGGAAAGCACATACTTTGGAGTCAGACCTGGATCCAAATCCTCCCTCTGTCAGTTACTGGCAGTAGCAACTGAATTGCTGAACTTCAGTTTATCTATAAAAATGGGGCAGGAATGCCCATCTTACAGGGTATCTCCTGGATTATCCATTCAGTGGGATAAAAATAGTGTACACGGTTTTGGGTTAGGACTGACAGAGTCCCTGGTTTCTACTAAGTAGAAAGTGCCTCTGCTGAGGCTCTCTCTCCAATAAGGAAACTGAGCACCTACTCCACAGACTTATTTTGAAGATTAAACAAGGTAGTGCAAACAATGGGATTAAATAATGGTTGACATTATAATAACTGCTCAGTAAAGATTATTATCACCGACTCGTGGTTCTTTTTTGCTTGCTCACTATGCTTGTGGCCTGTCTCCTGCTCCTTGAGGGTGCCAAGAGATGTTGGATAAGACAGCTCATTCTGGACTTCGAAGACGTGGCAAAGATGATTTTTTCCAAAGAGAATTAGAGCAAGAGTGCCTGGAACGTAGTAGGCACTCAATAGCTAAGTTGTTCAATTCTTACTATATAAACTCTATTTGTTATCCTAACAATAACTCAGTTAATCTACATAATGTATGAGATGTTCTCTTCATCTGCTAAATGTGTCCAGATTACACATTTCAGTAAATGGTATAATCAGGAACTGTCCCCTGGTCTATCTGAATCCACACTTCATGACCATATCATACTACCTCTGAATTAAGCCCCAGGTCCTGCATCAGCTCTCATTAAGTATCATTCATAGACGTCTAGTAGTTTGATCCTCCCTAGCCTAGTTTTTAGGTGGTCCCTTTGGAGTTAAGCACACTGCAAACACCATTATGTGTTGTTAATAACGCAATGTACTATAGTCAGTCCTAAAGCACTTTCTCTACCGTCAGTTGTTTTGTTCCTGTTCATCTTCCATTCATCCTCATGAATATAAAAATGGCATCACACTTTCTTTGCCTTTGGAAAGCTTTCCCATTTTTTTAAGGATGGACTCAAGTTCCACTTCCTTCTCAAGGTGTTCCTCCCTGCTCTTGTACCCTTAGCCATGGTTTCCTAAGACCCTTTTCACTTATGTCTGTTTGCATTTTCCATGAGAGCACAACTGTATGTTCTTTGCCTTTGTACAAGCCACCCTGTATCTACACCAAACAACTACTGCTTAATGAACAGAAGCAGCTCTGGGTATAAGCTTGGTGGGAAGAGGAAAGGAGAAGATGGAGGGCTGTTAAGGATAAAACAACAATCCACAAAGGATTCTCCCCACAGGCAGGGATTTGAAAGTGAACAGTTTTTTGTTTTTTTGGTTTTTTTTTTTAAGATTTATTTATTTATTTGAGAGAAAAGAAGAGTGTGTGAGAGCCTGGGTATGAGCAGAGGGAGAGGGAGGAGAGAAGCACCCTCCCCGCTGAGCACGGGGCCAAGTGGGGCTCCATCCCACCCTAAGCTCATGACCTGAGCCGAAAACAGGAGTCCCACGCTCAACCGACTGAGCCACCCAGGTGTCCTGAAAGTGAACAGTATTATACAGATCCTAGAGAAACTTTCTTTACAGGGCTACCTTTTTGCAGCCTAGGGGCAGCTCACCTGGCCCCGCAGCCCCGCTGAGCCTCTTCCGGGGTTTCGGCATGGTTTCCCTGCGGGGGTCGAAGAGCAGAGGATTCCAAATCAACCGAGAGAAACAAGACGCAGCTCTGTTATCTGCCCCCAGAAACCTGCGCAAAGCAAGATGGAGACAACGAGAGAAATCTTGAGTCTCAGCCCCGAGGGATTTTTGCGGAGCACCGATGCAACTGGCCTTGGGCCCCTCAAATCCTTCCCAATTATCTACGACCCTATTTCGATCCTGCAAACCTGCCGCTAAAGTCTCATCGGTTCTCTCCCTGATCGTTCTCTCATTCATTTACCATTCTTCTGAGCCACTGATCCCACAACTCCGCAGACAGAACCCCAACCAGGCTCCAGAAGGCCGGCACTGAGTCCCCTGCCAACACCCGGGCTAAGTACCACAAGGCACTTTTGCGCCGCGGCCCTGGGGATCTCTGGGAGTTGTAGTCCTGCTCTGGCATAGACCCGGCTGAGTCTGGGCCGTGAGGGCGCTGGGTGCACTACAGCGCCCAGGGTACACTGCGGGGCCCGGTCTGTGCCCTGCCCCAGGTCACTGCGTGCAGGTTCTGGCTGGAGAAGGAGCTGCTAACATGTTGCGGAGCGGCTGCGGGTGGCTGAGAGAGTGCTTCTACTGCCTGCACAGCGCTCTGCGGGCCCCCGCCAAGAGCGGTCGCCGGAGCTTGGTCTCCTGCATAGATCGTAAGACTCACCCCGCTGGTGCAGGTGTCCCGTCCCTGGGTGGGGAGGGGGAGGGGGTGCCGTGGTCTGAGCGCCCACAGAGAGCTTGTCACCCCCGGCTCGCTCTGGCGGTCACCTGGGCCACCACCCCCAGGCCCACCTGCCCGTTCCCGAATGGGCTTCCCCCGCCGGCTGGTGTCCCCATTCTGTCCACCTGACTGGCTTCTCTGACCGCCCTCACTCTCTGCGGTCTCCATCTGTGGCGCCCCTGGGCCTCGTCTGCTACTCTTTCACCCACCCCCAAACATGTGGGTGGGAAGTCTGGCGTCGGAAACACGTGCTGCAGGCGGTCCTCTGGCTTTTTAACCCTATCTTCCCTCCTGCCTACCTCACAGGGGCCCTCTGAAGACCGATGAAGATAGGAGAATACAGCTTGGTCTTGGTTGCTGATGATATTTGTTAATTGTTCAGGTCTTCCACAAACGTACTTGGTAGTATCAACCTCTTGATAACAAGTTTAATACGTTGATATCAGGTTTAATAAGTAAATAAATACTTATGAATACAATAACTAAGGGTTTTATAATGAACCTCACAACTCCGAGGGAGATTCTGTTACTATCCCTACTTTCAAATAAGTAGTGGGTGCATAGAAACTCCTAGCGGTGTTTTGTCTTGTCTTAATACTAGATGGTAAAGGATAGTACAGATGTAAATAGCTTGGGCTGGTTGTGATAGATGAAGCGAAGCTCCTTTAAGTGATGCAAGATTTGCTCAGGTAAATTTTGTGACTTAGCACATATAGTTATAAAACACTTATAGTGTTGAAATTCCCGTTGAAAAATAATTACTACTGGAAATGGGAAACTACCCAGAGTTGACAGACCTGAATGTCTTCAGGCACCAGGCGAATAATTTGGATGTGAGTATCGGGGAGTGATGGTGGGCCTAGCCCCACTAGGAATAACCAGCGACTTTGTGACTCTGACCATTACATAATCGTGTTTTTTTCTTCTGGAAAAAAAATCTTTTTAATAAATGTCGCTTTTCTTTATAACAGATTTGGTATGAATCCCTTTGATTGACACCCAGATCTATGACATACACTAGGATAGAATACCGTTTTCCTCTCCCTGTCCTAAAACTCCTTCACAAGGTGCTCCCCGTTCTAGCAATTGGAATTAGGTAAACAAGGTCACCCTTGCTGATAACAATGCAAATAAGGAGTTGTTCTGGTAACAAATATATTAAATATTTAATAGGTTAATATTAAATACTAAATAACAAATAGGTTACATAGGCTACAGTATTTCTAGCAGCTGCTTGTGTAGGTTGAGCCAATGAGGTACTTTTACACCTTTTTAAAATAAAGTACCTCTTCATTAGTAAAATGAAAGGAAACTACCCTTTCAATGTATCATTCTACATACTAGAATATAAAATTAATGGGAGTGATTGACAAACATTTGTTTCATTGCATATTTTAATAAGTGAAAAATGATTTTTAAGGGAATTATGATTTGTATTTTACTTATTATATGGTATACATATTCATTATGTATACTTCCCTCATCCTACAGATGAGGAAATTTACCAGTGTCTAATGCAGCTGCCTCATTTTACAATGGGATAACTGAAGCGGATTGAGGTACTTGACTTACTGAAAGTTGTACATTTAATACATTTAATAACTTCAGAACCAAAGCTCAAACACCTGATTGCTTGTCTAGTGTTCTTCCACTACACTTTGCTGCAATGTCACAAGCATTCTTTGAACACCAAGATTCTCAAATAGAACTGTTGATTCTCTTGTTAGGTTTCTACTTTGGATGCATTTAAGATTCTTATGTTACTTAGTTATTTGTTTTTGCCTGTTGCTTACACTTAGGTTGTTATACAGTCAAGGGTTTCCTCATCTCATTTGGGCCCACTTTCTTTCCTTTTTTTTTTTTCCTCCCTGAGATAGTGAGTGTGTGTGTGTGCATGTACAGGCATGTGGCAGTGGGAGAGGGAGAGCGGAGAAGGGCAAAAAAAATTTTTAACTTAAATTCAATTAATTAACAAAAAATGTATTATTAGTTCCATAGGTAGAGGTCAGTCTTACATAACACACAGTGCTCATTACATCACATGCCTCCTTAATCCATCACCCAGTTACCCCATTCCCCCATGTCCCTCCCCTGGAGCAACCCTCAGTTTATTTCCTATGATTAAGAGTTTCTTATAGTTTGTCTCCCTCTCTGATTTCCTCTGGTTTTATTTTTTTCCTATCTTCCCTATGATCCTTTGTTTCTTAAATTCCACATATCAGAGGATATGATAATTGTCTTTCTCTGATTGGCTTATTTCACTTTGCATAATACCCTTTAGTTCCACCCACATTGTTGCAAGTAGCAAGATTTTTTGTGTGTGTGTAGCTGAGTAGTGTTGCATTATATATGTGTATACACCACATCTATCTGTGGATGGACATCTGGGCTCTCTCCGTAGTTTAGCTATTGCGGACATTGCTGCTATAAACATTGGGGTACAGGTTCCCTTTTAGATCACTACATTTGTATCTTTGGGGTAAATACCCAGTAGTGGAATTGCTGGGTCATAAGGTAGCTCTATTTTCAACTTTTTGAGGAACCTCTATACTGTTTACCAGAGTGGCTGCACCAGCTTGCATTCCAGGCAACAGTGTAAGAGGGTTCCCCTTTATCTGCATCTGGGAAAGAGAAAATCTTAAGCAAACTCCGCTCCAAGGGCAGAGCTCAACCCAGGCTGGATCTCATGACCCTGAGACCATGACCTGAGCCGAAATCAAGAGTCACATGCTTAATGGACTGAGCCACTCAGGAGCTCCAGGCCCTTTTTCTATTTAGCTTTGCCATTTTACATTTTACTATGTGTTGGCTTCTTGAACTCTGCTAGTAACTGTCCAACTTCCTTAAGTCTGGTTTTTGTTTTGTTCATTTTTAATGTATTCTGGGAACTCAGGTGTTTTTACTTAGTTACCATGCTTTCTTACGTATAATTTGCTTTTTAACTTGCCTTTTCCACTTTTTTCTGCCAAGTAGTGCCCTCATTTTATTGGCATTCCTTTATCAAAAAGTGGGTTGGATATTGTATTTCAAAATGTGTAATTACGTTGTATATTCTTACACATAAGATTTTCATACAGTTGTTCCCTGATGTTTATTTAGGATACAATTCAAACCTATTTCTTAAAACATTTTGTTTCTTGACCTACTTGTTTTACTCTAATAAAAATAATAGTAAAGTTTATTGAGCTCTTTGCTGGGACTGAAATTCTGTAGCACTTCTCTTTATACTATAAGATTTACATTGTCACCATTTATGTTATCCTTTGTGTGAATGGACTGTATTCATTTTGTAACCCCAGTACTGTTCCATAGTAGACATTCAATAAATATTCTTTTGTGAATGGTCTTTAAGCTATGATCTACAAGAGCATTTCTGCAAGACTTCTGCAAACAAATGAATGACCTCTTAGGAACCGGGAATTGTTTATTCCTAACAATATTCCTGTGAATAACAACCAACGTAAATTTCTGCTCTATCCAGGCTTCTCAAAGTAGCCTAATCTCTAATCCTTGTAAGTATTCCTTTCTGAGATTCTCCAATACAGACCGACTGCTTTCTCCTGGCTCACATAGCCAGCCATTACTGCTGCCTATGCCTGCCCTAAAGAAACTGACTCTGCAGCCTGCTCTTCTTCTCTAATGGAAGGACTATGCATCACTATTAGGCACTGAAATAAATTCTTATTAAATGTGGCTCCATAGTCTTACTTTAATGCTCTTTAGCATCACCCCATAATGACCACATCTTTAGCACTAAAGGATGAAACCTGAGTAGGTAATACAGAGCCTTGCACTTCTTCTTTCCGCCCTATATTGTACCTCAGGGCTTCACTTGGAAAAGTATAGGCGTACACTCTATTTTTTCTTACACACCTGCAGCAGGTTGTCCTTTCAAAGTGACAGTAGTAAGAGACAACAAAAGAGACATAAATATGAACAATGTAAGTCTGAGTCACTCTGTGTAGGTTGCTGATCCTGATGCAGATTCCCGGGATTTATGGTCCCATCTTTTCTGAATTTGCTACACTATTGCCAAAAGGTTGTTTTCGTGGGAGATTTGCCTAGGCTGTTTACTTTCAGCTCTGGCCTGCTGCTAGCTGGAAGTCTACATCACTGCAGAATAAGAAAAATATTTTATACCTTACTTAACTAGCTAGTTGACTTGGATGTCTGCTTTCTAATTCAGTGTGATCTTACTCTCTGCAGTTTTTTAAAAATTCTGTAAAAAATGGTGTTCATGTCATTTGGGGAACTGGCTATTTAAAGAAAATGTATGGGGACGCCTGGGTGGCTCAGTTGGTTAGACGACTGCCTTCGGCTCAGGTCATGATCCTGGGGTCCCAGGATCAAGTCCCGCATCGGGCTCCCAGCTCCATGGGTAGTCTGCTTCTCCCTCTGACCTTCTCCTCGCTCATGCTCTCTCTCACTGTCTCTCTCTCAAATAAATAAATAAAATCTTTAAAAAAAAAAAAAACTGCTTTAAAGAAAATGTATGAAGTAATGATATTGTGAATTGGTAGTCATTCTGTTTATGTTGGTAGATAATAGTTCTCTTTCTCCTAAAGAATATCACCTCTGATAAAGGACTACTTTGGTGTAGTCTTTTGTTAGGTGTTTAAAGTTCTAGAGAAACTTCTCCTAATGAGGCCACACTGTGTATCTATTGATGTCAGTCAATTCTTTGTCCTTAGCTTTTAAGTATCTTAAACCCAAAAGTGAAGGAATTGCCCAAAGTCACATCACTGATAGTTTATGATAGAAAATGTTCTGAGAATGCTGAATCCATTGGCTAAAAATAGATATAGTAGGGCCTTAACCATGTTTTCAAAACTAGAAGACTTTTTTTTTTCATCATCAATGTTATCAGTGAATGTCTGGGATTTGCCAAATGCATAGCCTTATTAGAAGATCTTTCCCTTACTTTGAAGGTAAACCAAAGTACACATATCTTCCTTTTCCTATTGACCTTTTTTTTTTTTTTAATTTGTTTATTTGAGAGAGAGAACAGAAATAGGGAGAAAGAGCATAAGCCAGGAGGAGAGGGAGAAACAGGCTCCCACTGAGTAGGGAGCCCGACGTGGGGCTCGATCCCAGGACCCTGGGAACATGACCTGAGCCAAAGGCAGATGCTTAACCAACTGAGCCACCCAGTGCCCCCTATTGATCTTTTAAAATGAATATGTTGAAACAGACAGCTATCCAGATTCATAGATAGGACAGATTTTTCCCAGGATACTAACACAGAAAAGGTAGGACATCCTAAAGGAAAAAAATGTTTACTATAATTTGAAGGTCAGTGTATGTTTACTATTTTTTAATGTGGATTTATGAGGAGGAAGAGATAAATAAGAGTACTGAAAGAATAAGCAATTGGGAGGTAAATGAAGCCAGCCAATCCACTGGGGAGGAAAGAAGAAAGGAAAAGAGATAGTATATCAGATATTATCAACAGATAATATATAATATATTAATGGTGGGCAAGGCCATTCTATGGATGTTAAAGGTTATACCACATAAGAGAAAGGCTACAGCATGTCCCTGTCTCAACTTCACGCCTCTTGATATTGGCACTACACTTCCCTGACCCCTGTCCTGGTACTGAGTATATGCAATCTTACCCACAGCTTCCATGGGACTGAATGAAGAGCAGAAAGAATTTCAGAAAGTGGCTTTTGACTTTGCTACCCGGGAGATGGCTCCAAATATGGCAGAGTGGGACCAGAAGGTGGGAGTTTTCCTTGTGGCTAGACATTCCAGCAAATGCCCCCTGTAGTGACCCTGTCTTTGTCCCCTTGTAGTCCTGACTGTTCTGTGTTTATTCTCCTTGCACAACTCTTAATGCAAATGAGAGTAACAGTAATGTGATTCCTTCCCTCATCTTGTAGGGACTAGTTTTTTATTTTTTTAATTGCACATAGATTTGGACACTCTTAAGACCAAGGCAGTTCTGTTGATAATTAAAAGGAACTTTAATGCTAGAAAACCAGTGCTTATAGAATGCATTTTAACTGCTACTATAGATAACAAATAGCCTGTTGAGTTAAGGTAGGATATACACACTCCCAAATGCAAACCTCTTAATCCCTCATTGTGCCCTTTGAAGAAAAGTCCGTCTATGAATCCCTTACTGATGACCCTGTTCTCTTTTTGTATGTAGGAGTTGTTCCCAGTGGATGCAATGCGGAAAGCTGCTCAGCTCGGCTTTGGGGGAGTCTATGTACGAACAGATGTAGGTGGGTCTGGACTGTCACGGCTCGACACATCTGTCATCTTTGAGGCCTTGGCAACAGGCTGCACCAGCACCACAGCCTATATAAGCATCCACAAGTGAGTGCCAGAGCTTGATGAGCACAACTCATCAGGTTGACTGGGAAATTTCAGATAAATAGGGAAAAGTTCATCTTTTCAAGTTGATTGCCATTGAGGAACCAGACTATAAAAGGTCATGATCTCAGGGTTGTGGGATTGAGTCCCATGTCGGACTCCACACTGTGCATGGAGCCTGTTTGGAATTCTCTCTCTCTCCCTCTATCTCTACTCTCCTTCCCCCCCGCCCCCCGCTTACTCCTGAGCACATGCACTCACTCACTCTCTCTCTCAAAAAAAGAAAAAGTTCATTCTAGGTCTGCTGCTGCCTCTCAGACTTGAATCTGTCATCTTACTTGTATGTTGCTTAGCAAATGAGGTCTGTCTGCCTTCTCACAAATCCTAGATTGAGCTGGAAGCAAACAGACTTCTCCAGGAGAGTGGTCAGGGCCCTGTTCCCATCTTCCTCAACCCAAAGATGAAGCCCCCCAGCAATTTGTCAAAGTACATATAACTCTTTGATTTTTAGGGTACTCATCTAACCTAAAAATAGCATGAACATCCAGGTGAGAAACGCTTTGGCCCTGCTTATCTCTGGGTAGTACAGGTTCCATGAATATGTTTTAACCCAGGCCTTTCCTTTAAAGTCGAATCTTCTTAGTGGTGACTTTCTTCTTCCCACTCTCTCTTCCTGCTTGGCTGCTTGTCTTCTCTTGCCCCATCCCTTCCCCCCTCAGATTTCCTTTTCTCCATATTAGCTTTATCATTGTCTTTTCTTCTTGGTATATCAGCATGTGTGCCTGGATGATTGATACCTTTGGAAGTGAGGAACAGAGGCACAAATTTTGCCCACCGCTCTGTACCATGGAGAAGTTTGCTTCCTATTGCCTCACTGAACCAGGTGGGTTTGCCACACCACCAGCAAGACGTAGTGGGGGTGCTGCTCAGATGACACCACAGAGCACTCTCTCATCCCACTGACACACATCTGCCACAAAGCTGGGTTGCGGAGTAACACATTCCCATGGCCTGATCTCACAAGCCTAAGAGTGCTCTAGGGCAGAGTCTCTCCAGGCTGCAGATGGGAGCCTCCTTGTACTCAGTGTGTTGGGAGATGGAAAATGGTCTAATTGCTGTCCACAGTTTTCACCAAATACAGAGAGTTCCTCTGGCTATCTGCATTTTGAAGTATGAAACAGTGAGCTGTTGGTTATAAGGGAAGATTTACTTGGAAGTGGAACTGTGCTGGGGCCCCCTTACCTTTACTGACTTTCTCTCCCACCTTCTCTGCTTCCTTTTGATGCCTGCCTCAGGAAGTGGCAGTGATGCTGCCTCCCTTTTGACCTCAGCGAAACGACAAGGAGATCATTACCTCCTCAATGGCTCCAAGGTACCAGCATGCCCACCTTACAGAACACCTTGGAGATTGTTCCCACCTTTCTGCTGACATCACCTGGATCCTTGCTATCTACAAATTAGTATTTCCTAGGAGTTTTACACACTGGGTAGAGAACCTCTGACCTATTTCCCTTTATTTACTTTTACTTTCTCGATTTTCTGATCTGAATCCAGATAATCTTGCTCATTTTTGTCTGTCCTTTTAATAGTCTCATCAGCTGGATTCCCAATTCCCCAGTCAGCACAGGTTCTTTTTACCCCTCCTTTACCCCTCTGTACCATCATACTTCTTGGTGTCTTACTATCAGGAGGACTCTGATTGTTTTCCCAGGTGTTAGGCTCCAGGGACAGATGTGTTTCCTTAACCCTGTGCACCCCCTCTCCAAACCCCAGGCCTTCATCAGTGGTGGAGGTGAGTCAGACATCTATGTGGTCATGTGCCGAACAGGAGGACCAGGCCCCAAAGGCATCTCGTGTATAATTGTGGAGAAAGGAACCCCTGGCCTCAGCTTTGGCAAGAAGGAAAAAAAGGTGAGTGGCTCTTGGACACAAAATAATGCAAGTTCAAACAACTCAAGAGTCTGGCACCTGCCAGACCAACCTCTGTTCTGCTTTAGGGAATAGGTAACATACTTGCTAACTTGACTTGGACACCGTTGCTTGTATTAGGATTTCAACAGGAGCATATAGAATAGACTAGGGCATGGCTGAAGGATCACACCACGGACAAAATGGCACAGTGCCCCAGTAAGTTGATCAGCTGCCTGCTTTTTAGCGTGAGAGATTTCTCGGACATCTGTTCCACCTTCACTTTTGGCCTGTATTTCTTATCCATCTTCTTATTTTGGCACATTCTTTTATCCCAGGAAGAAATACTTACAGATCTGGTGGTGACTATAAGTCTTAGGGATGAAAAGCATATGGGCTACTTTTCATCTTTAAATAAAAATTTAAAAAAACTCATTGGAGATAATTGTGTTTCAGTAATAAAAAGGGAGAGTATTTCCACAGGTGCTTTGAAAAGACAGTCCTCGGACATAGCAATCCCATAGCCAGACCATGAATAGTAGTTGTATGATTCCATAGCTGTAGCTTGTGGGAAGATGAGACCCATTCAGACTTGTTAGGCCAGGGGACCAGAATAGTCATCTCCCCCTACTATGTACTGTTATAGTTAGGATTCTGGGGGAGAAGTCAGGTAATGAAATGACCCCTAACTATACTTCTCCTTTTTTTAAAAAAAGATTTTATTTATTTATTTGACAGAGAGAGAGAGAGATCACAAGCAGGCAGAGAGGCAGGCAGAGACACAGAGGGAAGCAGGCTCCCTGCTGAGCAGAGAGCCTGATGCAGGGCTCCATCCCAGGGCCCTGAGACCATGACCTGAGCCGAAGGTAGAGGCTTAACCCATTGAGCCACCCAGGCGCCCCTATACTTCTCCTTTTGTAGTTCGTAGGGTTTCCTCATAAGCTTTCCTGATATTTTATAAAACTGCCAAAGAGTTAGAGGTTGTAGTGCCTCTTTTCATTTATAGTATAGTAGGTTTTTACTAGATTCCTACCATGTGCAAAGCATGATGCTGGCTCCTGGGGTGAAGGAGGATACAAAAGTCACCCCTAGCCTTATTTGAATTCATAAGACATACGTTGTCTTATCTGTAGAAGATGTATAAGCTGTGATTGTGGTGTGTAAGTTGTGTATGTGTTACGTAAGATACATAGCTATAGAATATCTTAATTCTAGAAATGTCTGCTTTGGGTCATACAACAGGGACAGACTTACATAGTCTGACACATAATTTTACAGGATCAAGTTACACTGATTTAGGTTGTTGGAGCTTATAAAGGCAGTGATGATTATTTCAACACACATAGGTAGTATCCACCACAGTGTCTGTGACATCTGTTGACAGAACACCAAAGCTGTCAAGTTTCGTGCCTAGAGAAAAATTGCAAATAAGTTCCAGAAACAAAGTGTATCATTTCTTCCTTTCAGTTTCTGTTTTCTCTCACTTTTAAATGTATACTTTTATCTTTCTTTTTTAATTCTTGGTTTTGCTTTATATATTTTTTTATGTAAGGGAAATTTAGAAGGATACCTGTGTATTCATTCGACAGCTGGTGAGTGCCCACTATGTGCCAAGCATTTGTAAACAGTAGGGGTAGGATAGTGAACAAAGACAAAGCTCTGCCCTCGTAGAGATTACCTGTCAGCAAGTAGGGGCAGGCAACAGACACATACATAAGCAGGGTACCTTCTGGCAGTGCTCTGTGCTATAGAAGGGATAAAACAGGTTGATAAAACAGTGAAGAGAGCTTGAAACTTCTGTGATAGGTCTGGGCTCTCAGAAGTCATGACTTTTGAGATGAGATCCAGAGTATTAGAAGAAACAACATAAGAATTCTGGGCAGAAACAATAATAGATGGCCTGTTTGGGAAACCAAAAAAAAAAAAAAAAAAAGTTCAGTTTGGCCCTAAGGTAGTGAGCAAAGAAGAGAACAGAGTGGGATGAAATTGGATAGGCAGGCAAGGGCTTGTAAGCTGAAGGGAAGAGTCACTGCCCTGAATGCCACCCTGTTGGGCAGCCATATAGTCCCTGATTTTTGCCAGGTGGGGTGGAATTCACAGCCAACCCGCGCCGTGATCTTTGAAGATTGTGCAGTGCCCGTTGCCAACAGAATTGGAAATGAAGGACAGGGCTTCGTCATTGCCATGAAAGGACTGAATGGCGGGAGGATCAATGTTGGTGAGAACACAGCAGGATGGGGCAGGGAGGCAGCCAGGCTGGGGCAGGCAGCACTGTCCTGGCTCAGTTGAAATGTTCACATTCTTCCTTTCCAGCTTCCTGCTCTCTAGGAGCTGCTCATGCTTCAGTCATCCTCACCCGAGACCACCTCAGTGTTCGGAAGCAGTTTGGAGAGCCTCTGGCCAATAACCAGGTAATTTCCCAGAGGCCCCTGCATCTGCTTTCCATGCTGCAAGAGACCTGCTCTGTGGCCCATATTCTCTTGGAAGGTGAGGCTATGAGTTTTCACTGGAGTTCTGCCCCCGTCTTAGAACTTGTGTTCTGATTTTATCAGTAATCTTTTTCAGGAGGTGATAATGAAGCACAGCGCAAAGTAGTCTTGGAACTCACAAGGCAGTACATTTTCTTTGTAGAAGAGGCAGGGTCTTTGAAGCTTGGGGTCAGTTAGAAAAGGTACCTCATGAGAGATGTCTTATGGAGGGTCCCGGATCAGTGCTGGTCTAAGCCTGTGTATCTTGTCCGGTTCTCTTCTCCCCTATTGCTGTAGTACCTGCAATTCAAACTGGCTGATATGGCAACAAGGCTGGTGGCCTCACGGCTGATAATCCGCAACGCAGCAGTGGCTCTCCAAGAGGAGCGGGAAGATGCAGTGGCCCTGTGCTCCATGGCCAAGCTCTTCGCTACGGATGAATGCTTTGCTGTGCGTGCTGATGCCCTCTGGCTGCCTTGGGTGGACAAGGAGCAACTGCTAGGTCCAGGGATATTAAGAGCCATTAGTCTACTCCTGGGGTGCTGCAAAGATCACCTTGGGGCTTAAGGATATAAATGAACTCATGAGAGGCCTGCTTGGGAGCTCTCAGAACTGACTTTTTACCTGCTCTGTGCCATTACACACTCAATTCTGTCACTGTCATTCTGTTGTGTTCTAGATGAGACACTACCTATGGAAGAAGGTTTGGGGCAGCTCCATGCCTCTTGCTCAAATTTAGCACTAGGCTGTGCTTAAAATGTCAAGGGCAGAACTATTTCCACATGAGGCTACATTGTCACTAGATGACATCATAGGAAATTCACATGATCCCATCCAAAGTGCTTGTGGGAGGCTTGTCCCCTGCAGATAATAAAGCAAGAAAGGCAGAGCTCTCTGAGTTGCTTGCCTGGTGGGAACTGACAAGTTTAGTAGGTAAACTTTCCATGTTGTCTAACCACACAGAATACGGAGCCCCGCTTTGGACTTGGCTCGTTATCTATAGGTTGTTCTTCCTCATATTAGTTTACAGCAGGCTGCCAGATTGGGGGCTGGGGTAGAAAGAAAAGCCTTATGTTCCACAGTCTTCCCCCAGTCAAAGATGTCTAATCCCTGTCTCCCTGAAGATCTGCAACCAGGCTTTACAGATGCATGGAGGCTATGGCTACCTGAAGGACTATGCTGTTCAGCAGTATGTGCGGGACTCCAGGGTCCATCAAATCCTAGAAGGTAAAAATTGCCAGAGCTGTTCTCCAGAATGCTTATAGGCTCACCACTTTCCCTAGCCTGTCTGTCCCCATGCTGACTGGTTCTGAGGGTTCCATCGGGCCTTGTTGTCTTTTGCCTTTCTCCTTCCACTTTCTCCTGACCCCGCTCTGGAGGTGTTTGTGGATGCCATACAGAGCACTAGCTTGGGAGTCCGGAGGCTCTGCTTTGTCACCATGAGTAAGCTATCGAATCACTCCATTTTTCTGCTTTTTTTCCTCTGCAAATTTTAGAGAACACTCAAATTCAGATAATATGTGGGAAAGCATTTTGAAAACTTCAACAATAACTCTTTACTTTTATAAAGTACTTGGTTCTCAGGGATCTCAAAACTTCTGTACAGGGCAGATGTGAGCTGATTGAATCCCAGGCAACCTCTATAAATTGATAATATCTCTATCAATATTGCTAATGGATTTTTCAGTTAACTAAATCATATGGGTATTTTTCTTGGCAATCATAGACTGGAATGGGCTGGAAAATGTGTAAACAGCTGGAGGCTGGTTCAGAGCATTGGCCTTCTCCACTCTCCACACAAAGTGGGGATGTTTTAAAACTGCATGACTCCTATCTCAGTTGGCGTAGGCAGCCGGAAGTGGTTACCTGGTAGGAGAGTCAGGTGGGGCAAAAGCTTATCTAATCGACCTCCAGTGATGCAGTGTGGGGCTGCTTCCAAGGAGGCATAGGAAAGACCTGAGGGCATTGGTGTCTCTGTCATTTTCAAAGCATTCTTGAACCTGAGGAGGCACCAGAATCTTTCAGAGGGCTTGTGAAAACAGATTGCTGGGCTCCACACCCAAAGGTGCTGAGTCAGTGGGTCTTAGGCCTGAGCATTTTGCATCCCTAATAAGTTTTTCAAGTGAGACTGCTGCTGGGTGTCTGGGAACCACATTCTGAGACATGTTACGTCCAAATCACAGGCTTCTAAAAGTTAGACTTGCTTTCTTCTGCAGATCTCATCCCTGAAATAATGTCAGTGAGCTCAGTCACTGGTGCTCAAGTTCCCCATAGGCTTTTTTGTGTTTACTCGTAAAGTTATTTCCTTACCCAGCATTTAGGAATGACAAGTTTAGTAGGTAAAGAAGAAATGGTAAAAGCCAGGTACATTTATTTCAGGCCATGCCATCATCCACTTACAGAAAATTTGGGGATCTAGTCTCACTTTGTTTCATTGTGGACTTTATTATACGATAAATCTGCAGTTTTAGATTTGATTTTATTTGAGATATGTGATTACTTTTTTTTCATGGAGGTTCATATCTCTCTTTGCATTAAAAGCCACTATAAAAATGAAGCAAGAAGGGGGCACCTGAGTGCTCAGTGGGTTAAAGTCTCTGCCTTCGGTTCAGGTCATGATCTCAGGGTCCTGGGATCGAGCCCAGCGTCTCTACTCAGCAGGAAGCCTGCTTCCTCCTCTCTCTCTCTCCCTGCCTCTCTGCCTACGTGTGAACTCTGTCTGTCAAATAAAGAAATAAAATCTTTTTTTTTTAAGATTTTTATTTCTTTATTTGACAGACAGAGATCACACGTAGGCAGAGAGGAAGGCAGAGAGAGGAAGGCAGAAGGGAAGCAGGCTCCCCGCTGAGCGGAGAACCCGACGCGGGGTTCGATCCCAGGACCCTGAGATCATGACCTAAGCCAAAGGCAGAGGCTTTAACCCACTGAGCCACCCAGGCGCCCCTAAGTAAATAAAATCTTAAAAAAAAAAAAATGAAGCAAGAAGTTGATCTTTCAGGGAAAATATTTTTGTCCTCTTAAAGTTTACTTTTCTGATTACAGAAGAAATTGATATATTTATTGTTGAAAGCTTATAAAATGTAAAGTAAAAAAAAAATAAAATTCATTTTTCCACATTCAGAATTAATATTTTGGATTCCTTTTATATGTAAATCCAGAAAATGTCCTTTGGGGCTTTTTCTGTGTTTTTGTAGGTACATTTTTTTTAATGTGAAATATAGTTGCCATACAATATTATATTAGTTTCAGGAGGGCAACACAGTAATTAAACAGTTGAAATAGTTTGAGAAGGAAATATATTAACTCTTCTTTAAATGTTTGGTAGAATTCCCCTCTGTGGCTGTCCAGTCCTGGTCTTTTCCTGGTTCAGAGTTTTTTGATTGCCAGTTCAACTTTGTTACTCATAATCAGTCTATTCAGATTTTCTGTTTCAGTCTTGGACAACTGTATATTTCTAGGGATTTATCTGTTTCTTTCTTCTAGGTTGTCCATTTCTTATTTTGGGATATCATTTTTCATGGTGGCCTCTTATAATCCTTTATGTTTTTGTGGTATTGGTTGTAACTTATCTTTCATTTCTGATTTTACTCGTTTGACTTCTCTCTCTCTCTCTCTCTTTTTTTTAAGTCTGGCTAAAGATTTATCAATTTTATGCATTTTTCCAAAGAACCTGATCTTGGTTTCACTGAACTTTTCTGTTGTTTTCTTAGTCTCTGTTTCATTTATTTCACCCTGAGCTTTATTATTTTCTCCTTCTGCGAATTTTGGGTTTGTTTCTTCTTTTTTTCTAATTCCTTCAGGTGTATAGTTAGATTGTACATTTGAGATTTTTCTTGTTTTTTTCTTTTTTTTAAGTAGGCTCCACCCCCAATATGGAGCTTGAACTCACGTCCCTAACTTTACCAACTGCACTACTCAGGTGCCCCAGTTTTTCTTATTTCTTGAAGAAGGCCTATATCACTATAAACTTGCTTGTTAGACTGCTTTTGCTGTGTCCCAGAGATTTGGAACTTGTCTTTCCCCTTTCATTTCTCTCATGGTATTTTTTTATTTCCTGTTTGATTTCTTTGTTGACCCATTTGTTGTTTAATAGCATGTTGTTTAGCTTCCATGTGTTTTTACCATTTTTTTCCTGTAATTGATTTCAAGTTTTATACCATTGTGGTTGAAAAAAAATGCTTAATATGATTTCAATCTTCTTAAATGTATTGAGAGTTGTTTTGTGGTCTCCTTACATGTGACCTTAGAGAATGTGCACTTCCAAGTGCACCTGAACAGGATGTGTATTCTGACATTTTTGGATATGTTCTGTATATATCTGTGAAGTCCTAAAGTCCTATCTGTTCTAACATGCCATTCAAAGCCACTGTTTGCTTACTGATTTTCTGTCTGGGTGATCTGTCCATTGATGTAGGTGGGGTGTTAAAGTTTCCTACTATTATTGTATTACTGTTTGTTTCTCTCTTTATATCTGTTAGTATTTGCTCTATATACTTAGGGCTATTGGATTGGGTGTGCAGATATTTATAATCATTATATCCTCTTGTTGGATCAGTCCTTTTATCATTATGTAATTACCTTCTTTATGTTTTGCTATAGTATTTGTTTTAAAATCTGTTTTGCCTGATATAAGTATTGCTACCTTAGCTTTTTAACAATTTTCCCTTCATTTAGAATATCTTTTTCTGGGGCGCCTGGGTGGCTCAGTGGGTTAGGCCTCTGCCTTTGGCTCAGGTCATGATCCCAGGGTCCTGGGATCAAGCCCCACATTGGGCTCTTTGCCCCCACATTGGGGGGCGGCCTGCTTCCCTCCCCCTCTGCCTGCCTCTCTGCCTACTTGTGATCTCTCTCTGTCAAATAAATAAAAAAATTTAAAAAAAAAATCTTTTTCCATTCTCTGACCTTCAGTTTGTATTTGTTTTTAGGTCTGGAGTAAGTCTCTTGTAGGTAACATATATCTGGGCCTTGTATTTTGTTTTGTTTGGTTTTGTTTTTACCCATTCAGTCACCCTTTGTCTTTTGATTGAAGCATTTACATTTAAAGGAAAGGTGATACTGTTAGATATGTACTTACTGCCATTTTGTTAATTGTTGTCTGGTTGTTTTTATTCAGTTTCTTTTTTCTTTTCTTGCTGTCTTCCCTTGTGATTGATGACTTACCTTAGTGTTATGCTTGGGTTCCTTTCTCTTTATATTTTGTACATCTCTTATAGGTTTTTCATATGTGGTTACCATGAAGTTCATATATAACACCCTATTATATAGCAGTCTATTCTAAGTGATGGTTGCTTAAATTCAAACACATAAAAGCACCACATTTTTAGCACCCTCCCATTTTATATATTTGATATCATATTTTATGAGCCCCTTAACTAATTTTCTATATATAAGTGATTTTAAAATTACTTTTTCTTTTCTTTTGACCTTCATACTAGCTTTATAAGTGATTGATCCACTACCTATACTAAATGTTGCTTTTCCAGTGAAATTTTTTTTTATAAGTTGCTTACTCCTAGTTATTGCCTTTTCTTTTCAACTTATAGTAAGTCCTTTAACACTTCTTGTGAGGTTGGTGTAGTGATGATGAGCTCCATTAACTTTTGTTTGTCTGGGAAACTTTTTTTTTTTTAAGATTTTATTTATTTATTTATTTAAGAGAGAAAGAGAGCGAGCGCCCAAACAGGGGGAAGGAGCAGAAGGAGAGGGAAAAGCAGACTCTGTGCTGAGCACAGAGCCTATTGCAGGGCTCGATCTCACAATCCTACGATCGTGACCTGAGTCGAAATCAAGAGTTGGACATTTAACAGATGAACCAGCTAGGTACCCCTGTCTGGAAAACTCTTTATCTATCCTTGTCAGGTAGACTATTCTTGATAGTAGGGTTTTTTCCTTTCAGCGCTTTGAATAACATCATGCCACTTTCTTCTGGCCACAAAATTTCTGCTGAAAAGAATCAGCTCATAGCTTTATGGGTGTTTTCCCTTATACATAACTATTTGCTTATAAGAGTTCTCTTTATATGTAATTTTACCATACACACACACGCACACGCACACACACACACACACACACACATATCGTGGTATGGCTCTCCTGATTTATCTTGTCTGAGACTCTCTCTGCTTCTAGAAATGAGATGTCTCTTTTTTCCCCCAGAGTAGGGAAGTTTTCAGCCATGATTTCTTTAAATAAGTTTTCTGCCTCTTTCTCTCTTCTCCTTCAGGGACCCCAATAGTGCAAATGTTAGTATGCTTGATGTCCCAGAGGTCCCTTAACCTATCCTTTTTTAAAATTCTTTTTTTCTTTTTGCTGCTCAGCTTGGTGCTTTATTCTACTCTGTCTTCCAGATTGCTGATCCATTCTGCATCCTGTAATCTGCTGTTGATTCCCTATAGTGTATTTTTTCATTTTAGTTACTATACTCTGCAACTGTTTTTTGTTTTATGTTTTCTGTCTCTTTGCTGAAATTTTCACTAAATTAGACTACTCCTCTCTCAAGGCCTCTGAGCATCTTTATGACCATTATTTTGAAACTTTATCAAGTAAATTCCTTATCTCTATTTTGTTCAGTTCTTTTTCTTTTTCTTTTTTTTTAAAAACTATATAGTAAGTATATTTGAGAAATTCTTTTTATTTATTTATTTATTTATTTGACAGACAGAGATCACAAGTAGGCAGAGAGGCGGCAGAGAGAGAGAGGAGGAAGCAGGCTCCCTGCTGAGCAGAGAGCCCTATGTGGGGTTCGATCCTATGACCCTGGGATCAAGACCTGAGCTGAAGGCAGAGGCTTTAACCCACTGAGCCACCCAGGCGCCCCTGTTCAGTTCTTTTTCTGAGGTGTTATTCTTTCATTTGGAGAATATTCTTGTCTCCTCATTTTTGTTTTTGTGTATCAGGTAAGTCAGACTCTCCAGGTCCTGAAAGTAATGTCCTGTATGGAAGGCATCTTGGAGGCTCGGTAGTGCAATCCCTCCTGGTCTCTAGAACCAGGCACTCCCAGTGTGTCCCCTATGTGTTCTGCAAGTGTCGTGCTGTTGTGTCGGGGCTGTGACTACTGTAGGCATGCTGGTAGCTGGCTACAAGGCCTACCTGTGAGTCTTGGGGTGTGTTATTGGGCGGCAGTGACTTTGGGTGGGGGCGGGCAGTGGTCCCCTCTGAGGTTGCCTACCAGGTATGGTGGTTAGTACCTGCTTGGAGGGATGTGTGCTGAGTTGAGTGTGTTGAGCCCAAAAGATCTGCAGGCGAATGCCAGGGTGGGACAAGCAGTGCTAGCAAGGTAGAGTGGGTGTCAGGTCTTGCTCCCAAAGCATCTGGCTAACTAAGCTGTAGAGTACAAGAAAAATGGCACTTGCTAACATTTCCATTCCCAAAGAAAGTTCCTACAGATCCCTGCCCCTCTGGCACACAGCTGAAAATTAGTCATTAAACCTCCCTCATGTGTGACCCAGGAGCTTTTCAAACTGCTGCTTCCGTGCTGGGCTCTGAATGACTGATACTGTCTGTGGGCCCTTTATGAGTTGTGTCTCAGTTTCCTGTAGCCCTCGGGCTCTCCTAGAGTTAAGCTCCACTGATTTTCAAAGCCAGACAGTATGGGGCCTCATCTTCCCAGTGAAGATCTCCAGGGCAGGGGCTGTCTGCTGTGGGACTTGAACTTCTCACTCCTCAGGAAGGACCTCCACATACTAGCTTGTGGGTCACTGTGCTGTGGGTTTGGTTCCCAATAGTCTCTGCCCCTCCAACCCTTCTCATGTGACTTTTTCTTTATATCTTTAGCTATGGAATAGCTGTTCTGCTAGAGTTTAGGTTCACAGAGTGAGTTGTGCTGTACATAGTTGCAGCCTTAGTGTGTCCATGGGAGGAGGTGAGCTCAGCATTTTCCTACTTGGCTGTCTTCCCCTGTCCCAGGAGAGGTGTTTCTAAAGAGTAGATTCATTCCTTACTTCCTGACATTTTTCTGTACTTTGCGGAGAAGTCTGTGATAATCCCATCCCACTCAGGGTTAAAGCAACAGTTGTGGTTTATAACTGCTATTGTCCTGAATGAGGCTTGGAACACCTTGGTTTAAGCTTTACCAAGCTCTCAGACTTTGCTGCAACTAAATCCTTCATTCTTCCTCCCTCTTGCAGGTAGCAATGAAGTGATGAGGATGCTGATCTCTCGAAGCCTGTTTCAGGAGTAGCACCCAGACTTGATGTTTGCACGTGATGGTTAATGTACAACTCGAATCAGAGGTTTCATGTGGACTGTTAAGTTACAGATGAGTCATTGATGAGAATGAAGGGCTGAGCTCTTCTAGGTGGACCCAAAGTGGTGGGAGCAGCATCAGCTATAGGAATGGGACAGAGTCCTCAGCAGAGCTAGAGGAGTTGCCCTGATTGAGAATGTTACAAGAAGACATACTACCTTGATTTCCTAATGCAAAAAGGTGACCAGTGAAGACTCATCACCGAGTCAGAGTCCTTTCTTGGATCCATGTTGTCCTGATTTGTCTGCATTTGGTGGTTCACTGAATCCCTCTTCCAGGGATCTGAGCACTTCCATTGAGGGTTTTTCCTGATGATAAAGCAAAGGTGTGGGAAAGGAGAAATGGACAAAAAATGTCCTCCTATCTTTTCTTATGCTCTACTAAAGATGCAGAAGGTTTCTGTGGGTTGCTAGTACTCCTGTGAATGTAAGTAATGATAAAATGAGTATTTGGGAAACCTTACTCCTAGGTGTGATTGTACACTTTCTGAATATCAAGGGTTGAAGTTATTTGAAACTCTGAATATTTGTTGTTTTCTTTATAAACGTGGTCTAAGAATGGTATTTAAGTTTCTATAACCCTTTCTGATAAGTACTTTGAGCATAATTTCTTTCTATCTGAGTTTAAGGAAATGATAGACATATAGAAGAGAGAGTGACCTGGCAAAAGTGATAAAGTTGGAAGGGATTCATAAACAAGGTAGAAATTAAAATTAAACTTTTATGAAAATGTGTAATACATAAAGAGAACCAAGAAAGTCAGTTTTAGACAGGAAGGAACCAGGAGCAGGAAAAGTGCAGAATTTGTGTGGCACCTGTTTGCAACTTTGTTTTGTTGTGCTTTGGGCTTGGCTTGGGATGGAAAGAAAATGTAAGTTGAATCTGGATGGAGAGTTATGAAAACCAAAGTGTGGGTTTTATCTCCTAATTGGAGAAACTGAGAAGGTTTTTAATGAAGATATGATGAGATAATTTGTCGGTAAGAATGTTCTTGGAATGCACATGCAGGATGAACATGAGCGGGGAAAGACAAGATAAGGCATGTCCAGTCTATAGGTTCTGGAAGTAATTAAGGTCTGAGGAAATCAAGCTCAAGCTTGAAAGGTAAAGAAAAGAGGAGAAACGAGCAGATACAGACCCATGCTTAGAATGTTTCCTGTGGAACATGGAACATGAGGGTCTCCCTAGTAATTGGGCTGCTTTCTGGCATTTACTTCTGAGGCTTCTGTTCAGATTTGAAGCAAAAATAGGTGTTATATTAATGTCTTTCTATTTGTGTCCCTCATAAGAGACTGATGAGATGCTAGTTATTACAAATGCAATCCACACTGTCACCTCTCATTACTATTCAGAGTTCAGTTTCCCGGCAGGCTAGCAAGGGACTTGACCTCTGTGACAAGAAGGTAGGGACATTTTAAGCTAATCTCTATCACTGTTTATTTTGCTGTTCCATAGATGAAGCCAAAAGGAGCAGAACAAATATGTCTTAAGGAAAAACCTGTGCCAAGTGCTATGTTAGGTGCAGGATATACACAGATAAGCAAACACAACTTAACTTGGATGGACTTACAGGCCTGGAATGCTAGAAATTAGATAACATAAATTCAGTATATGGGAGCAAAAACAAATACATTTACTAAGTACACTGGGGCACAAGTAGTCTTGTGACCCTAACATGATGGCCTCAATGAAAATTGGATTTACAAGTTGGCTTCATAATTTCTTTAAACTGTCTCCCCTTATAATTAACTCTTACAGTTATTATACAGGGGGGAATCTGATTGCTCTGATTATATGTCCATTTAAACAGAAGAATGTTTAGGTCACCCATTAAAATTTTCATCTTTTATAGATTCAGTATATTAGAAGTATCTTATTTGCTTTAGTGCTTATCTGGTTATACTTTTATTTTAAAAACACTTCTCCAAAGTACTTTTCTGCAGATTATCTCCTATATCTCATGATTTTCACAAGGAGCTCCTTGCATGAATAGTTACTTAAGATAATTGTTGTGTTAAATTGATCTGAGTTGAATTGAGTAACAACCCTGATGAAAACAGCAACTAACAATGTTTCTGTTCAGTTAAGAGACTGAACTATGGATTCAGGCTCCCATATCGGGATTTGATTGCTAGCTTTGTTCACTAACCATGTGACTTTAAGAAAAAAACACCTAAACTCTCTGTGCCTGTTCCTAATAAGGATCCCTGCCTGATAGGGTGGTTGGTGAATCAAGTGAAAGAATCCAAATAAATGGCTTTGAACAGAGTACATTAAGCACTCTCAAATATTAGTGTTATCAATATCATTTTATAGGTGAGCATAGTGAACTGTAAAGAGATTAAGTGACTTTCTCAAACTTATACAGGTGGCATACTGAAGTGTTAAGACACATCTCTGCCAAGAACCTTTAAAAAAGTTAGAATCGTGACTAGTAGTCATTTAGTGCTGAATATCAAATATTTCTGGTCTGCCTCTCTTCTAGGTAGGTAAGTGGCAGGATTGCATTTTCCTTCTGCCAACTTTACAGAAACATATATATACCTAAACAGATTTCTAAGGTTTCTCCCAGGATCTTAGAAGGGACCCAGAGCTTAAGTTTCCTTAATTTCACAGTAAATTTCTTATGGTCTGTCCTCTTTCCTTTATCTGAACATCTCCATATATATTCTTCTACCCAAAATTTGTTTTCCATTTGGAACTCAGGCTGTTATCCCTAGGAATTATGATCAGCCAAACACCATATGAATGAATGCTCTCCTTTTGAGTGTGGATGGGTGAGGAGTACCTGCCACAGCTTCACAACAAACCCTGAAACAGCATGGGTCCCTGTGTGCCCACTTCAGCAATTCCCAATTAATGACTCCCATGGGAAGAAGAGAGGAGGATCTGAAGAAGCCAGGGTTAAGTGGGAGCCCAATGGACAAGTTTTTCCAACTAAAATCCAATCTCATGCTTCGTGGCCTATATGGCAAGTACTACCTGAGAAGTAAAAAAATGAGCCAGGGTAGAACATTCTTTCATTGCTTCGAATGGAGCAAAATCCAGCACCACTAGCAAGACCCCAAAAGCTTTTCCTTCCTGCTCCAGGAGGACTCAGATTTCTCTCTGCTATTTGTAACTGAGGGTAGTGGTAAGTGTGTACCCAGGTCTTTTTACTTTTTCCTCCTGGCTACTTGTCTTTTCACCCAGTTTCTTGATCCAAAGTCCAGGACATTCTGGATCAGTCAGGAAGACTAAATGCTCACTTCCTGTCACCACAAACAGAAAGGAATCTTAGCTCTCTCTGGTCAGGAATTCTTAATCCCCATAGAACAGAATGAGGCATTGCCAGTTCTCTTCACACCAACAGAGAAGGTTGGATATTTTGAGCCATCATGCTTTGGAAAAGTGGGGCCTGTGATTTATTTCCAGGGCAGTTCTACGCAGTGTTGGTTTGGTTCTGCCCACCCTACCCCAACTTTAATATGGGCATTACAGTTTCCTCAAGAACTATATAAAAAATATTCCAGGGTAGTCCACTGTTCCCTTCCCCAGCTGTCATCCAGATTAGGGCCCTGAGCTGCTGTAGTACTTGGTCCTTTCTACAGAAAATCTGTATCGCTGGTTTCCACTTTTTCTTCAAACCAGTCTGTGGTCTTAATGAGCCATAAGATTCTTCCACCAAACTCAGGTTGTAAGTCAGAAATACATTTGATTCATCTCTTTATTCTGGTGCATTCCTCACATAGTAGGAGCTCAATGTGTTTTGCGCAGATAAAGACTTTAAAAAGCCAGCACCGCCAATGTGATACTAATTATAGCTGCTGGCAAATACTTTTTAGGAATAGGCAAGACACACCATCAAAAGTCAGCTAACTAGAAGCAAGAACTTGGATGGACCTCCAGGGAAGGTGGGTGAGTGAAAACCAAACTCAGAAGGTTGTGTACTGCGAGATCCCATTCATATGACAGTCTTGAAATCATGCCATTATAGAGGTGGAAAACAGGATAGTGGTTGCCAGGGACTTGACTGGGTAGAGGGAAAGAGAGTCTATAAAAGGGAAGCATGAGGATGGGAGGGGCATGTGGTGGTGGCCACAAGTAGGTTTGCAACTCTCTTAGGAGTTTCCCAGATGTAATCTGAACACGGGCCTTGTATTGGGCTAGGACAGACCAAAGAAAGAGGCAGTCCACTCCAGAATGGTAGGTTGCAGGTTTTTGTTTTTGTTTTTTAAGATTTTATGTATTTATTTGACAGAGAGAGCACAAGTAGGCAGAGCGGTAGGGGAAGGGAGAAGCAGGCTCCCCGCTGAGCAGGGAGCCCAACATAGGGCTCAAACCCAGTACCCAGGGATCATGACCTGAGCCGAAGGCAGATACTTAACCAATTGAGCCATCCAGGTGCCCTGATAGTTTGTTTTAATAAGCAAAGGCAACTTACATATGAGTCTTGTCTTGGGCAGCAGCAAGCCAGGTGGATCCCTGCACCAGCCTGTTAAATCTTAAAACTTTTTAAAAAGGGAGCCTCTCCAGTCCTCAGGTCCAACTCAGATCGTCATATCTTTGTGATCAGGTTCCCCAACACCACACAAAACCACAGGTGCCCTGGTAGCTTGTTTTAATAAGCAAAGGCAACTTACATATGAGTCTTGTCTTGGGCAGCATCTAGGAGAAAATAAAAAATATATTGGACCAACAGAAATAAATTTAATTACTAGGGAAAGAAAGTCTCAGAGAAATCAAGGGATTTAGCTAAAGTTATCCAATTAGGTGAGAAATTGGTATTAGAAATTAGGGTTTCTCAGTAAAATATTAGTAACTGAATTCAACAGTACATTAAAAGAATCATTCACCAGAATCAAGTGGAACTTACTCCTAGGCTGCAGGCTTGGTTCAATATTCACAAATCAATCCACATGATATACCACATTAATTAAAGAAAGGATAAGAACCATATGATCCTTTCAATAGATGAAGAAAAAGCATTTGACAAAGTACAACATCCACTCATGATAGAAACCCTCAACAAAGTAGGATTAGAGGGAACATACCTCAACATAAAAAAGGCCACATATGAAGGAGCCACAGCTAGTCTCATCTTCAGTGAGGAAAAACTTGTTCCCTCTATGGTCTAGAACAAGACAGGAATGTCCACTCCCACCACTGTTGTTTAACATAGTATTGGAAGCCCTAGCCTCAGCAATCAGACAACAAAAAGAAGTGGTATCCAAATCGGTAAGGAAGAAGTCAAATTTTTACTATTTGCAGATGACATGATACTCTATATAGAAAGCCCAAATACCACCCCAAAATTGCCCGAACTGAAATATGAATTCAGTAAAGTCACAGGATACAAAATCAACACACAAAAATCTGTTGCATTTCTATTTACTAATAATGAAGCGGCAGAAAGAGAT